TCTGCTTTTACTTCTATGTTAGTATTTGTCATATTAAGTTGCTTAGTCGTTTTTCATGGGTTCGTCTGGGTTTAGGTCTCTGTTCCAGCGTCGCAGGTTTTCGGAGGTGAGTGAGACTTGTCCACTCTAGGTGTAAAGCACTATCCAGGTGTAGGGGCCTGGTTTCACTCCTTGTACCCCAGTTCGCCTCTGCTTTCATTTTGCAGATCTCGTTCTACTCCTTATAGCTGGGACATCTCCTATCAGAAGCTACATGAGGTCTCGAACAGTGAAAAAAAAAATCTGTTATTACGCGGTCTGCTTCATTATGTCCAGTTTGTGCACATTGTAAGCATCCCTTAAGGCTTAGAACTATAGCATGCCCTTCCGCTGTGCTCGTAGCTCTGACAGTTGAAACAACGCATGTGGGGCTGTATGTAGTAGGGTTTGGTATCCAGTCTTAATCTTGAATCCTTCCTTGACATGACTTGGCTGAGCGACTTGTAAGTATTAAGAATCTATATCCTATCAGACTACTGTTCGTCGCATCTTTTTTTTTAATTATACTTTTATTATGTTTATTATTTGTTATATTATTTATGTAGCATTTACAGTACACTTATTATTGCGACACGTATAGGAAATGTTCTCTTGCAGTTCTACCTTACATGTTTTCATTTTCTATGATTGCTGTATTTTAACGGAAACTAGTGTATATGTAATCTGTATGCTCCTCCAACCATTTTGTTTGCTTTATTCATCGAACGGTATATTTGTAACCAGCTTGATCCTTTGCCGTGTGTTTTGTTAATACGGCGGCCACTATTACAATCATTGGTTCCTGGTAGTCTGTTTTCCATGGGTCTTTTATTCATGTATTTGCTCTCACATTTGAGGTGAGGATGTTGTTATAAAAGTGTACAGAGTTCCTAGAGCAGCTGGTAGTTTACTTTCATAGGACTGTGACTGATATGGTGAATAGGGTTGGATTGTAGATCTTTTCAAGGAATAATAGCTTTGTTTCGAATTATCCCATTCAAAACTCACGTTATGGTACTAAGTCGACCTTCTCCGTTTCTCATTGTTATTCACCTACTCAAACATTCATAAACAAAACATAATGATCTTCGACACACACACATACAGTACGTTTAATCATTTCTTATCCAGATTTACTGGTTTATCTAATATTCATAAACGTCGTGATATGCTACGAATAGTAAAATAACAATATATCAAGTAAATACAAAGGGAACGTGTTCATCCGTGAATACATAAATAAAAGAGCAAATAAGTATATCAACCAACACGTTCTATAATATTTGGCTACAGCCTAAACCAGACCCCGTTTCTATAGGAGAAATCTTGCCTTACCTGAGTGGTACTCCCTCTTTCTAGTCCTGAGATTCTAGCACTGTACTGTACATGCACATAGTCGCTCAATAATCTACTAAACTTGTTAATGTGTGTGAAACACTTGCACCAGAACCCATACGGGGTTAAAACATTTTCGTCGAAGTTTAATAACATCTTAATTTTACACCCAACACAACATAGATCTTGAGGAGAACAACAGATGATGCAATGGATGCCCCCGCCCCTGCTGTGTGTCTTTATGTATGTTGACGTTGTAGTCGTTATAATGTTATCACTACGCATCAACAACAGGGTCTGGAAGAACATAACAAGTTCATTAATAACACTAGTAAATCAACAATAAAAAACTTATGTGAGGTAGAACTCTCCGTTAGGTGTAATCTAAGAGGGAGAAACAGAAGACGTATTAACATAAACATTAGGGGGGGGGGGAGTAACACTTACCATATCTCGCTCGTTAACATCCCTCAGAGCGTCGAGCAACAGGGAGATATAGACAACCCCTGGAGGTCCGTCTGTAACGTAGATCTTAGTCAGACATCACGAACACCTTCCATTAATCACATTTAGTTACCATAGTTCTTTTATTGATTAATTTATTGATGATTACTCCGGCTTTTATTTAATTATTAGTTTATTTGTATTTTGTTTATTCTTTTGTTTTGATCCATCACGCAATATTGAATGGATAAACGGTATCCTTTGTATAAGAATTATTATTTTTGTACTCCAGCTATTCATAAATCATAACCTTATTAATATTAAATGATATGTAAATTTGGATAAGGGTGTGTGTGTGTGTGTGGGTGTGTGTGTGTGTGTGCGTGTGTGTGTGATTAGGATCATGATGGATGGCATAAGTCAGGGTAACTGAAGAAGAATGAACTGAGTTATGATTAATTACACAGAGACGATCTGAATATGTATGTCTCATTTGGTGTCGGGCTAAAAAAGGCGAAACAGTTGGTCATATTATCTGAGGTTAGTGTTACCTGTTGGGAGCACCACTGTACCTGGTCCCTCGGGTCTGGTGTGGGGATCACACTCTGGAAGTCGTAGATCCTTCCCCGTGACGCCCACCACACTCACTTATCTGGGTGATGTATCAAATTCACTTCTTACCGAACTAAATAAAGCAACCTTGGTAGTGATAATGTACAGGTAATATGTTTGTACACTGCAGAGATATTTAAGTTCCATATTTCATGTAATGACACACTAGCAACTTTGAATGTGTTGTTTTTTTATTAATAAGAAATAAATCTTAATAATTTAAAACTTGGAATACAAACTTTGTTCAAAACCAAGTCGTACTTATAATGACCAGGATGTTGCCCAGTGGATGGAGGGAAAAGGTCGAAGCAGCTCACGATCCTGGGAAATCCACTTACTGTACTGTCGCCGCCAGTCGTCCATGATGCTGGGTAACAAAGCAATGGACTTTTCGTCTAACAAAATAGATACAAAATTAAGATTTCATAATTCTTAGAAAACATCTAGTGTGGAAACTAGAAAGTGTTAGTGAGCTTAAGATCTAATAAATCGATAATTAATTATTTCCCCTTATCCAGTAAGATGAGAATCGTTCTCACGATAAACAACTTAGTACAGTACAGTGGTTAGATGAATTATAATTAGTAGATGCTGCTGGTATCGGGAACACTAGTACGGTACTTGATGGCGTTTGACTTGATACTGACTGGCCACGCCTGCTCGCTCAATCGGCCAAGTCACTTCGCTGTCTCGTGGCACACCGCTTGGTCATAGTTACTTCGCGTGCTTTAAACTATGTTCGTGTTATTTTGTCTTTATTGCCAGGCGAGTGTCGGAGATCACTTACCTGTTTAACCAGTTCATATTCCTTGTTCGTTGGTTTACTTTATTTTCCCATCATCGTTGTCCTATATATCCCTATCCTACATCCTTGGTCTATCTCAGTGTCCTAGTTGGCTGTCCTAGTTCGTTTTCCTAGCACGCTCTATTAATCTTGTTGTATTCGGTCACAGAACTAGATGTTGTGTCTAGTATAGTGTTTTAGCTCATCTTGTTGATCATTGTGTAGGACTGGAGGAGGATCTTCGTGTCTTATATTGGTTTATACATCAGGCAGTTTTTATTGATTTTTTTTACTGCCTTTTGACTTATTCAGTTTATTCGACAAGTATAATGAAGTAAAGTATAAATGGCACTTGTATTCAAATTCGTGTTTTTTTTTTTTTTTTACGAATGTCTCAAAACATCTTACAGATATTATAAGGTAAGAATGGTCAGCCACAAATCCTATCTCTCCATAAAAAAGATAAAAGGATCATGTTTCTCATTTTGAAAACGGAAATATTGTTCAGGTAAATATAATGTCAAATTTGTGGATAAACAATCAAAATTCTGTAAACCCACATAACCTCGCCTCTCCTCTCCACTCCAGTTTGTATGTGGCCATGGTGGTGCACAGTCAAGTGGTGCTAAGGGAGATTACTAAGAGATATGTTATGAAGTTGGAACAGTAAATGAGAAAGTACTAAAGCTGGCAAAACAACTAGGGGAGCACTGGAAGTTTATTAGTTACATCAGGTATACATTATAAAGTTTATGAATCATTCTTAGTGTTATAAACTTTAAAATATATTACACTAAAGGAAAGTTCCATGCCAGGGTATTTTCTTGCTAACATACACGATAATTGACTGTCTGCTTTTAAACAGAACAATGTAAATGGTCATAAGATGAACAAGTTGGTTTGTAAGCGTGTAACCTTGTCATCCAGCACTTATATACAGTACATAACAGAGGAGGGTGAGATCAAGTCCACAAAGGTCAGGTATTAGGTAATGATCCTACTAATCTTCAAAAAGCACCGCACGGTACTTGTTGATATGTATCATAAGGCGTGAGTATAGGCAGGAACCATCACAATTTATACAAAGGCAATAATTTTAAAACGTTTCATCGCTGTAATTAAAATAACAGGATCGAGTAAGACTGTTGGGGCTCCGAGCTCAAGGGTTCTTCCGTGGTGGAGTATTCCGTCGTATATTGGAGCTACTCAGTATTTAAGGTACTAAGTCAAGGGCACAGGGACAAATGGCTGGTTTTCTTTTCTTTTCGTGTATTCAAGAGACCTATTTCGGAATGACCAACAAGAAGGTAATTTAGATTCTGAACTAGGAGTTAAATGTAAATGCAGTACGGGTGTTCACAGCTTGCTCTGAATATTACCTTTTTGAACAGGATGTTGAAGGTTCAAAAGTTCAAATATTGCAAGACGTTCCAGGAACACAGGGCGTGACGGGGCACGTCCCCTACCTGCACACTCCTCGACGATCAGTTAGTTCTTGGTTGCCACAAGGAACAAGTTGGCAAACAGATATTTAACTTTTGATGAAGGACGTACTGTAGGTCGTAAAACCTTTAATAACTATATAAAGAGCATCTAAATACCTTGTTGAGAGAGCAAGGACAATATGTGATTACATTTCACTCCTAATTAGCACTAAATTAACACTACATATAAGGAAATAAACCGATTTACTTAACACCTTTACCTAGAGCACTGATGAAATGGAAAATGCGAAACACTATGAAATATTTTCGGCAGACTAAGACCGCGGCTCTTAAGTTTTGTACACCGCCCTTGATTATCCTCTCCAGTCAGGTGCTCACTGCTGCTGGGTCCAGGAGTCAGATCACCGAGCCTTCCGAGCCTTCTGTTGTCTGTCTGTTGTCCTAGGCCGACGAACTTCACACTCATCCTTCTGGGGCTTCTGAAGAAATCCCAGGTTGAGACATCGTTAAGGCAGTGGGAGACGAAGAGACTCCGCATCGGGTAAAATGTCGCTGTTAAAGACGGCACTGTTTGGCCTGAGTGCTGCCTTCATGGTCACTCTGGCTTATGGTAAGTTACACACGTAAGAAATTTTTTAGCGTGTACTAATGTGAATATTATGAAGACACTTTTAAATCCTGATATTAACCTTTGAACTTGAAATGAGAGAGAGAGGCAGAGCGAAAGACTGCAGTGAGCTTACAGCCATCCAGTTTGCGTTACTTAGGAAGAGAGAACCTAACCAAAACCTTGAGCCCTTCACGGTCGCGTTGTATCTTACCTCGTAATGGGTTGATGGCTTCCTCGGTGGAGTCTCCTGTACAATTACTACTGTACAATACAATGAGAAACAGCACTTTAATTATAATACAAACAGTATAAATGATAAACGTTAATCTTAGGAAAATACCATATACAGTACTGTACTGTTCATGTGGTAAGGTCCTCAACAGTCAAGTTAAACAAGTGAACTGGAATACATAAACTTGTGATGTAGTATTCTTTAAGCTTCGTATATTGACAAGCAAGCACAAGAACAACCCGGTGTTACCACAGATACTTGCACCAACCACAAATAACCAGTAATTATGTTGGTGGTTTTTTTCACCATGGTAGGTCAAGGTGCAGCCCTGCGTCTGGATGAACGGAAACAATTACCTAAGAATGTGACGACATCTGATGAAATAAGTATTACCGCGTAAAATATAGCATCTACAATATAATGATATGAAACTTTATTTTAACTAACATCCATCCTTGTGACAAACTTCTTTCACTTTTGGTTATCTTCCATCACCGTCTAACATAAAATTAAATATATTTATCTCTGGGTTTTATTCTGCTAAGTTCGTCTAGTTACTACTACAGTACAGGACTCTACTACAGATGTCATTATTTAACACACCTTTGTATTGTCACACTAACCATATACAGTAAAGTTAAATTTATTCGTGTTCATTGTATCGTTTATCAACTATTGTTTTCCTAATTTCACTTCTGTGTTTTCTTCTTGAATTAATAACAATTGTGTAAAGACTCTTTTTGAACTTATTTTCAAATTAATTTGGTGTTGCTTTTCACATCCTGTTAAGTGAGTGAAAACAAAACAAAAATATTAGTTTATTATTGTTGCTCTGTTGTTTGGGAATCTCTCTCTCTCTCTCTCTCTCTCTCTCTCTCTCTCTCTCTCTCTCTTGAGCTTATTGGACCAGGAAGTGACTATTATGTATCCTGTTAATGTTTTTGCTGTTATTTTCGTTCCCTTCTCACAAACTGTCGGTTCTTGCCTCGCGTGGTTCTGTCACTACACATTCATTTACGTGGAGATAAATATTGTTTTTATTTTTACTAGGTTGAAGTCTACTGGTTATAGATAGTCTAATAATTATTACGGTTGAAATTCGAGCAAATTTGGAGAATATGAAGATTAATACGTTCAACTTATTTCACATGATGATTAAACGTCTTGTCCTAACCTAACCTAAACCACCATGTTGCTTCAGAGGATTTAATCAACAGGTGAAATAAGCTGATAGGTGGGGCTATTCTTCAGGTGATCCCAATTTACTGGACATATTTTATTTATAGTTGCTTAGCTAAATATAAATCGATATATATTGTGTAGTTTGAGTACAGAAACTATAAATATCAAATTAGAAGCAAATCAATTAAATGTTACATATATATTTATACTGTGGACTGAAAATCGAACATCTATTTCATGTACCATATTTATCGTAATGTTAAGTACAAGTTTAATTACGGTGAATTCATCAATACTGTAAAAAAAACAAGTAACGGAAGGAGCCTCATAGTAGTTTACATAAAACCGTACCATAAACATCAATAGCTTCATAAATGACAAAATCGTCTCATAATTTGGTCTAATTTTAAGAGACACTTTTGGGCAATATTATAATAATGGCATAGTCAGCCTGAGCAGTGTGTTGAAGTTGGGTGTTCAATGTATTATGATTCTTTTCCTGTCTCACTTTGGCCTCTTACTGTCCTCTCAAATCCACACAGGTCTACGTATTCTCCTGCCTTACGAAATGAAGATATATAAAATCATTATCTACGTCGGTATCGTATTTGTAATATATAGGAATGCGATTTTCCGTCGATTTATCGGTTTAGATTAACTTAATACATATTTGCATACCCGGAACTTCGGTGTTACGTAATAGCTCTAAATAGTTGGTTCTGAAATCATCGTTCACCGTCCCTGGGTGAGCATTGAGAATGATGTTAGTAGAGGTCAGGCTGGGTGGAGTCAGCCCAGCACACATCCGCGTACCGTTAATATTGATCGATTGTCTCATCTTTGTTCGTCAGTATCTCGGGCATTTTGCGAACAAACAGATTACAACAACAGTTTGAAAGTCTGTTATTAAATATTTCCCTTTTTCTTTTAAAATGTTTAGTAGCTTTCACCAATAGAATTTATTAATAGTGAAATTTTCGTGGTTAATGATATTATTTCTGGTGGTGTGATATGTCTGTGATCAAAACATCTAACGTTATCATCTTAGTCGCAATAAGAAGCGATCCTTTATGAAACTCATCCTGTATGCGTTGGTGGTGTACTCAGACGGGCTTGCTTTCCGATTGTTGTAGTTGATTGTGTCCAAGACCATGATTCGTGATTTGCATACTAAATAATTTTTGTATACATGATAAATACAGTAGAGTTTAAGTATTGTGACTTAAAGTACTGTGTGAGATGTGAAGTAGATGAAGTACTACAACACAACACGATTTTATCAGGGCGCTGGAAACCCCTGCCAAGGTCTTCAACATACTTGGGTAGATGAAGGTCAATATTACCAGCTTCTTTGTGTTACGTTTGGCAGCTTTCCGTTTAGTTTCAGTTTCCTATCATCAATTACTTTACTCGATTATCGTTCCTGTCTCAGCTTATATTTTGTTTACATTGTTTGTCCTCACAGGTACGCTGGATGAGAATTGCTTGGGTTGCTTGTGTCAGGCTTCAACTGGCTGTCAAAATATCGGTGGCTGCCCTCGTGGCTACTGCGGACCTTTCCTCATCTCGAGAGCTTACTGGATCGACGCTGGGAAACCCGTCTTCAGTAATCATGCTCACAACCCGGACGCACCAGGTGGTAAGTCTTTGTTAACCTTATCTTTGTTATGTTATCATTATTTGAAATCTTTATAAGTGTGTCTGTATCTTTAACAGTCCCGTCGTTTCCAAATTAACAAAATTTAATAAAAATATAATACATTTGATATCTTTCGCCCGTTTACTTTATGGTTCTGTGTATAATATGATGACATTCTTCATATTGAACAAGATAGCAGATATTGGCGCACTAAAACCGTTCACAGATGCTGATGCTACAATGTATTACTGGTCTTCAACAAATTAGGTCTTTAAGCGTTTAACTAGGTCAGGAATTACAATTTAAAAAAAATAGATTAAAGAAATATATTTATCACATACAGTAGAGTAGTTCATTCTCCCAGTACCTCCTCTTTACGCTATCGACATTCTTAAATATATTCTTGTTTAATTATGTTATAATATGCTCTCTCTCTCTCTCTCTCTCTCTCTCTCTCTCTCTCTCTCTCTCTCTCTCTCTCTCTCTCTCTCAGATAGGTAAGTACGATATACCGCAAGTAATAATTTTTTTTCTTATACAATCAGTGAATACAGTACTTTTATTTTCAGCTTTTGAGTCGTGTGCCGCAGACCTCGCTTGCGCAGCTGACATTGTCCGGGCCTACATGGCAAAGTATGGGAATCAGGTAAGTCTAGTTTCCTTTGTCCGTGTTCAAAATAAATTCTTTAGTTGTAGCACAAATGTAAGTAAATCGATAGAAACAAAGGTCTTATTGGTTTAATGGCAAAATTTAATATACTTGTTAAAAAAAAGTCTTTGTGATATGCATGTGGTTCTTAGACTATAAATAACACATTATATGATTTTGTTTTCTGAAATAATTGACATTACATAATAGGCCTAATTAAACTCATCCTTGGTAACTAAGTTCTCATTGATTATATTTACATTAAGGTAAGATCCTGTCGATAATTTTATATTTAGTCGTCAGTGATCTAAGTTACTGCCAAAAAAATCTGTATACATTGATTAACTTCAAATTACATAATTATGTTCGGATAATTACAGACCGCATTTTACTCATAAACTAAAACTGATAACACAGGATTGCAACGGGGACGGTTTTGTGAGTTGCACTGACTTCGTCAAGATTCACAAGCTGGGCAGGAACGCATGCGGCAATCACCTCCAGCAAGGAGAGTTCGTATCAGCCTACGAGAACTGCCGCCATAATTTTAACCTTGTATAAAACGGTGACCGTATTATTCTTCTCCGTACTGCTCTGCGCTAACATCTTCTGACGCCTATCACACACTATGTATTCCACTGAAATCTCTCAAATATGATGATATGGATTGCTTATGAAACTTACCAATATATTGTCAACTATTCAGTTACCATCAAACTAAAAGGAGCAGCAAAGTAAAAATATAATATGTATTTTTTTATTCTGATACAAGGACTCAGACTAGAATAACACAATAGGAGCTAGTAAAAAAGTGTATCATGTAGTGAGTTACTCAGGACTGATATAGTTACAGCTGGCTGACGCAGGACAGCTCCAACAAGGAGTGGTGAGCGTGGTCACCATAACGTGGTGAACTGCCTTGGCTGAAGCGAATGACGACTACAAGAGATTCTATACTTGCTGGAAAGTAGTTCCTGCCGACATCCCTTCCTCTTTATCACAAGAAAAACATTCACCTAACAATTTATTCTCGGCTTCACTTGCTTACATCCTCCTGGGAACATTGCCAAGTATCATTTACATACGGCATCAAGTAGGAGTATTATCTGACAATCTTGTGATGCCAAAAAAAAAAAAAAAAATATATATATATATATATATATATATATATATATATATATATATATATATATATATATATATATATATATATTTCTATGCAAAATAATGATGTTAAGCAGAAAAAATACTGATGATTATGTTTTATCCTTTTCTAATGTAAGTTAAAGTTATTTGAAGATATAGAGAAGTTCTGTACAACCTTTACCGTTCACAAGTTGAAGAATTTAACGTTATATATTATACTGAATAGTTAGCGTCCATTACTTAAAACTGACTAACACTGCTGACACGTGAGCACCTAGCGAAGAATATAACCCTGACTATTGAAGCACCTAAAACATAACACAGAAAATGAACCATGCTTAAAGAAACGTCTGAATAAATATTACACCACACCTACGGCTGCCATAACCCTGACACACAATGACCTTCTGGCGAAAACAACAACAACGAGCCAAACTAATATGACAACACACAACCAAGTGGTATTGTTACAACTATATCTAATACTTGCCGTCGATATAAGACTGGAAAAAAAAAGTTTATAATATTCATGTCCAATTTGCCTCTCATTTTATTGAATATCTAAATGAATAAATAAATATATAGGTAATCTTGTTTGTGCTTTTCATATAGGTAAGTCTGTGTGTATATGCATGTGCTACTTCTCTGCAGTTAATATAAGAACTCATTCATTGTAATACATTGTAATTACTGCATAGATTAGACAAGTATTGAGAGCTTTTGTTTGAGTTGTATAGACCTGAGGTTATCACTGTGATTTTACATTATGATTTATGGTGTTAATTTGGAAAGATAAAAATACCACAACTCTACCTTGGAATCTTTTATCATCCTGTTCTCCTCGTGGGAAGTAAATCATTTTATTATTTTGGATCATGTGAAGATTAGGCACCCCAGTTTATATCACTTGCTTAAACACCCTGATGCCACCTGGGGAGGTTTAATCTTTAATCACCAGATGGAATAAAGTGAGGTGTCTACTCTTCACGTAATTCAATATGTCTATGTCCGATATCATTTTAGAATCTTATGGTGGAAGTTATTCTTATTTATTGTATATAATCGTGACAGTAAAGCAATAAGATGAGATGGTTGCAATCCGATCCAGTCTACTATTTCTGTCGTTATTGAACAGGAAGATAATTAATTAATGAAGAGAGGAAGGTATGTGTTGGTACCCCGCTACATGTGTCAAAAGTTGTTTATTGAACGAAACAACCAATTCGACTAGATGTTCAATAACCCTGGTAACCGAACATCTAAAACAACGAGAAACTTACTTGGAGAATTGCTTGACTTGGAATGTGTGTGAGTTTTACAGAGATATTACGTTCTCATTAAAACACAGAAACCTCATACCTAAGGTGACACACACATGTTACCATGGAGGTAATTGGAAATGTAACCTAACCTAACCTCAGTAATTTATCTTGGCCCCAGTCTTGTCTCTTGCTTATCTGGATAATTACTTGTAGATAATATATTACAATACAGAAGTACTAAGGTATAATTTCTGAATAAAACTACACATTGACTTGTCAGTGCTGTCCATAAGATCTTTCTTTCCAACTGGATTATTTCTGTTCGTTTTTATTTGCCCGAACGCAAAGTCTAAAAAGCCCAACAAACAATGGACATATGTTATGGTAGATAAATTTAAGTCTGAATCATATTATGAAGTTTGTCAGTGGCTTGTGTACAGGATAGCGTCAATAAATTGTGTAAGGATGAAGGATATGAACCAGTAGAGCACTATGGACTGGAATATTTAACCTAACCACATTAAATCCAGTATATACAAGAGGTAGAAGGGAAAGAGGAAGTCCAAGAACGTAATGGAAGGATGCAATGGTGTTAAGTGGATGGACAGGCAAGAAGTGGACTACGTGAAGGACAACAAAGGTCGCCGAATGATATTTTCGGGGTGGACAACACGACATGCTGCTTATTGTTGAGGCTGGTTTGCTTACGACTATAGAATTGAACCAGGTAAATGACTTAAGGCCTTTTTACGGAAGGGGAACATCATAACGGTACATATCTGTTAGGGCAGTAAGAGTGAATGAATACAAGCATATGAAGGGATGTCTGTTTGGTCTCCGTCCCAGCCACCGTGACTGTATAGCGTGTAAAGGCTTGAAAGAATGAAGAAAATATTACTGTTAATATTTTTATCAAACTCGGAATAACGGGGTAATCTTCTCAATTCTCCAGTCACCTTATCGCGCTTTTCTGTGTTTCCATTTATGCCCTAGTTGTAAAAAATCTCTATTTCCGTATGTTTACAAAAGAAAGCGACTGGAAAAACTTTACACGCTCGTCTTCCATTATTTGCAACAGCTGGAAGCATTTGATTACATCTAGAAATCCAAAACATTATGATCATATGAGAACGCGAGACAAAGATGAAATTAATCCCGAAGGCAACACAGCGAGTGAGGAAACACAGTTAAAGACTTGCGGCAAGCCAGAGTGTGTTGCCACATATTACTGGGAAGAAGTTACAAAAGTGCGTCTTCAGGTTGCTGCTGGTCCCTTTCTTACAACACTTGGATCTAAATTGAAACACACTATCAATTTCATCAGTCAATTCTGATAGCCTTTAGACAACATTTCCCAGTTCACTGAAAATTCCACAAGCGACATCCACACTTTCCATGGTCAGATGTTAAAGGTTAACAAGACCTGAAAACACACACACACACATACACACACACACACACACACACACACACACACATACACACGCTAAATAAGGAAAATAGCAGATCAGGACTTAAAAGTAATTGACAATTTCCCAAATAGGGATAACTTCTCTTATTATTGTCACACAGTAATGGAAATTAATTTGCATGCGATATATTTTGGGGTCTCATTTTAAACGTAGTTTACCATCGTAACTTAGCCAAATTTTACCTAAATTAGGTTAGGTTAGGTTTTGTATAAAGCTATTCATTTATAATTATGCATTATGATGGTGTTCAATGGCTAATCCGAAGTTCCCCCCCAAAAATAATTTTCACAAATATTCATTAATCGGTCATTATACAATATATATATATATATATATATATATATATATATATATATATATATATATATATATATATATATATATATATATATATATATATATATATATATATTCCAGAAACAAATTATGTAAAATATTGGAATCATCTGAAAATTAGACACCCAAGTTTATACCACTTGAACATTAACTACTGTAATCTAACCTAACCTAACCTAACTTAACCTAATATAACATATGATAACTTAACATAACATAGCACAACGTAACATAACATATACATATCCCAATCCCCCAGGGAGAGCTAATGTGTTTAATCATCTTGTGAAATTGACCGGGATGCCGTACCTTCAGTTGATTCTTCCATTGTCTTTTCTTTAAACTTGAACTAAATTTGATGAAAAAAGAAACTTCCTTGTTTTTTTTTTCGTGTTCCAACCGCCGAAGCACGTTCAGTATATTGGTCATTTTCCACACTAGACAACGACTAGCATATATTAAGAAAAAAATGCGGGTCACCTAAAAATTAATTAACCCATCTTAGTGCACCTGTTAATTAAACACGTTATCGCTAACCAAACCAAACATAACGTAATTTAACTTCTCCAGGTAGCGATAGGGTGTTTAATCAACGGGGGGGTAGGGGAGGGGGCTAATGTGCAGGTGTTACGTATAAAGATGAGTCACTGGATTATCCCAATATAAAGTTAGTATTTATACGAGGTTGTGGGCCGGTCCAGTGACAGATTGTTATTGTGTAATATACGATTCTGGGGCTAAAGGAGGCGTGTCTAGATGGATATATTTATTATTCAGTATTTATGAAATTTTCCAAGGCTATATTCTGCTACTTGTCATGAGACACTGGTGAGCGTGTTTATATACAGTATCTCACCAAAAATATAGCTTAAAAGATGTAATAACTTGTACTGTATTAAGGTCTATTAAACCTTACAGAATATATTTTTCGACGTCAAGCTGGAGGGTTTCTCTGCGTGGGATTTCCACTTGGTTCAGTACATCGAACCTTCACAGTGTTTCCGATTTTAACCCATTACTCTTCTTTTTTTTTTCTAGCTCCTAGGAGATTTAGTCGCAAATAGACGGTGAAGAAATTCGATCTTGATGTTAATGTTAGCGAGAGTAAAGCTTACGGACGATATGAAGAGGTGATGTTGACACTTTCGACAAAGACATTGGATATTCTAGAAAATAATAAGTGTAAATTGTTCCAAGAACTTTAAGGCGTGACGGGGCACTTCCCTTACCTGCACTTCTTGCCAATCAGGTTTTTTTTTTTTGCCACAAAGGTTACGTTTCCAAATACACAGGAAAATGCTAATAAAACACGTAGAAAAAGTACAAATGGTATATAGAGTCCCTGTAGGAAGAACATGAAGTAACGAGCGTTGTGTGTTATTGTGTCTGTATTAGTAATAAATCATTAACGCTATTAACGATGAAGTTCAGTGACAAAATGGGAAAACACGAAACCCGGTGAACTTTTCTAGAGGGAGCAAGCGCCTCAGTTAAGTATACCCCCCCAACCTTCACCGTGGCTATTCAGGTCTTCACAGCCGTCGAATCCAGTCGCCTGATCTCCGAGTCTCCAGACTTCTGTTTGTCCTCCCAGGCCGACTTACTTAAGACTCAAACCTCTGTCAGCTACGAGAACGACCGGTTTACACCGTATCTCTGTCAACGGCCGAAGCTAACCACAGTTGAAAGATAGTTCTAAAGGGAATAGAAAACAGGCAGAATGAAGACGGCACTTGTTGGTGTGGTGGCCGCGATCATGGTCGCCATAGTTCATAGTAAGTTTGTGTGTGTGTGTGAGTTAGAGTTTTGCCACATATTTAACTCGGTTTATAATGCTATTGAGATTTTTTTTTATTATTATTGAATTTAATGTGGTGGAAACAGAACGATTTGCCATACATGTATCTCGGTTTTACAGTAATGGCATTAAAGCCTGATTCACTGAGCTTTAACTAGAGAGAGAGAGAACTGCAGTAAGTCCTCAGCCCTTCGGTACCGTAAAATGAGGGAAGTTCACCTAAACCTCTTGATCCATTGTCAACATATCGTACTTATTCTTCTCTCCTTGATACTCAATGGAGTCGCCTGCATAATCACTTCTTTAGACAAACTTTTGATGACGATTTAAAATAATATGGTTCAATATTGGGCGAAACAATTCTTGGTAAATATCACATCTTATCCAATTAACCTTGATACAGTTATGTGAGGTAGGGTACGACCTTCTACTCTGGTACTCGGTAAATCAGACTACACTCGGGAGCTGCTATCACTGGTGCCATGAGTTGTCCCCAAATATCAGTGCCCCTTTTTTTTCGAGTTACCGGACCCTACTTAACATAACCTAACCTGATTTGTGAACTTGGTCGATCAGGAAGTGAGTCATTTATGGTTTACATTTATTAGTATTATTATTTTCATTGCAGTCTTGTAAACTCTTAATTCTTCCTGGTAAGACAAAAAAAATTATGCAGTGTGTGTGAAGCTGAATTTAAAGTGACATGAATCCAATTTAGATACATCTTGTATATTTTAACCAAATTCTAAGTCAACTGCTATTTGAGATGTGGAGTATCAATGACAATGTCTCATCAATAAGCACAAAGTTAGAGAGAAGTCAAGTAAATTATACATTATACCTGTGTCTCTTTCTGAAGTAATTGGAAATTTTCTCTATATTATGGTGAATATAAAGTCAGAAAGAAGCAATTAACTAAATATGTGAAACCTTTTAGGAACTTTTTAACGGCTGTAATCTTCATAAATGGTAAATATATTTAATAAGTTGGCAACTTTGTAGAATGTAGGGTGACCCTCAGTGTATAGAGAGAGAGAGATGCTTGGAAGAGTGTCTTTAATGTATACTGTTTTACCAATCATTATTACAATTCTGTTGAAATGACCACTAACTTCTCAAACTCAAAATATCCTTATCTTCTAAAACTTAACTTCCCTTTATTGTGTCAACAGGTCAAGACGCTAATTGTTTGGAATGCATATGTCAGGCTTCAACTGGCTGTAATAGTAATACCGCCTGCCCTGATGGTGTTCACTGCGGACCTTACCTCATCTCCTGGGCTTACTGGTCAGAAGCTGGCAATTTAACACTCCCCTACGATCAAATCCCTGCAGGACAAGGCGGTCAGTACCTACTAACTCTAATACATTTTTCTAAAAAATATGTATTCCCTGTAATTATATTTGTTTCAGTATTGTGTCCGTAATGTCGTTGCTGAATTAACAAAATTATGTTACATTAATATATATATATATATATATATATATATATATATATATATATATATATATATATATATATATATATATATATATATATATATATATATATATATATATATATATATATATATATGTGTATATATATATATATATATATATATGCTGATAACCACAAGGAAAGAAGAAAACACGAAGTTCCCAAGCGCTTTCGTGTAATTCACATTTTCAGGGGTGAGTACAGACTAAAGAGGAGTACAAAACAAGGTGTATATATATACAGAGGAGGGTGAGACCAGGTCCACAATGGTCAGGTATTAGGTAATGACCATACTAATCTTTAAATAGCACGGCAACGGTCGGTAGTCAGGTCAGAGGGTAAGGTGACCCAACCTTCTCACCTGGTTACAAATCTTCTTAATTACAAAATTTTCCAGTTTGTACATGCCATTACTCAAATTCATGTTGAATGATTCGGTATGTTTAATGAGACTAGATTCTATGATGTTCCTACTATCAATTGAATTACAAGGTAATATTGAGGAGGCATTATCCCAGTCAATGCAATGCTTGTTGTCCCTCAAATGAACAAATAGAGCATTGGATTCCTGGCCTGTCCTAACACGCTCACCTACAGTGATTTACTTGCATATATATATATATATATATATATATATATATATATATATATATATATATATATATATATATATATATATATATATATTTCATGTAGATCCACAATGAAAACGTGGATAAGATAAATCTTGATAAAATCACACAGGTGCTCCGTTGTTTCCCTTTTCCCGTGTGATTTTATCAAGATATATATATATATATATATATATATATATATATATATATATATATATATATATATATATATATATATATATATATATATATATATATATATATATATATATATATATATATATATATATATATATATATATATATATATATATGTAATTTTTTTTTTTTTTTTTTTTTAATTATTGATTTACCTTTATTATGCTGAAAGTTTTCTCAACAGGCAAGGGCACACTGCAATATTTGTATTGTCTCAAAATGTTTTCATTTATGTTATCACGAAAAGTCTTTAATCTATCTTTTGTCCAGTGTTGACATTATTCATCACGATCAGAAGGTGAATAAAAAGAAATATACCTGTTGAGACAATTGTCTTAAAGGTGTGCCATATATGGATGGCCCGTAGAGTAAACGTTAAGTCTGATAACTACAGAGGATTTAAATCCCTCGTAGTTCCAAGGGCAAACGAAAGGTAATTTTTGTTAAGCAATTTGGCTCCATGCAGGCTAATGAAAACGACCACAGCAAAGAGGTTCCTGTGCCAACGTCTTCAGTATTCCTCCCACTCGCCCGGCCTCTGAGGAGCTGGTGTGTGTGTGTGTGTGTACAAACTTTATATTTTACTCATTACAACTATGTACTTTTTTCAGTATATGATTCTTGCGTCAGAAACCCGCAATGCGCAGTTCAAACTATCCTCGGCTACATGGCGAGATATGGGAAGGTAAGTCACTGCTGTAGTAGATCAAGTTTTATTGTGTACATTTTAGTCCATATGTCAACAAGTTTCTCTGCTCTGCTCCATGACATATTGTTTCTATTGCTACAACTTAACTGAAATTGATTTGTATTGGATACCCAAATTATACCTAAAGCAGGTTAGATTATACAATTGTTTTCACTGAGTGTTAATATATATGCGTGTTTATGGTTCTATAACTTTCAGCGCCATTTTATGACTGGCTAAATCTTGAATTAAGTGCATAGCTACTGTACAGTATTAATCGTATATCTACCAAGTTGCCTGAGCTGCACTGTCAAAATTATGTGGTAACCGTTTTCTTGTTCTGCCCCTCGGATAAGTGCAAGTTATTAATATTTGTGTTGGATAACTAATGCAAGGGGGTTTACTTTAAACTCGCCCCCTCGGGGCAGCCCCCAATCTACAAAACTATGCCACAAATATTTCTGAACTATGTGCTGTATTGTACTCAAAAAGTATTCATGCAGGACTGCAACGGGGACAACCTTGTGACCTGCACTGATTACGTCTTGCTACACAAACTCGGCAGGAACGGATGCCCAGGTGCTCTAAGCGGAGATTTTGGTTACAAATATGAAATCTGCCGTAAGCATTACAACCTCCAATAAACGGTGAGTTATTTATCTATCCCGGCTAGTACTTTGCATAATCCACACTTACACCATTTATCCCGCATTATTCTGTTTCAACGAAATCCTATGATTTGATCATATGGGTTGCCTGGGTAAAGTTAAATTCTTGAGAATTTATTTACCATCAAACTAGGGGTCAAAACCTTTAGCTTGGTATTATCCTTCGACAAACTTCATTAGGCTGCATATTCTTCACTAGCAGTTCCGAGATGTGAGATATGTACTCTGGACTCGTTTTTAAATATGAAACATGGTGGCATTTTTATTAATACTTAAAGTAATACTGAATATAAATAAAATAAAAGGTGACATTGATAAATAATAATCGCAGTAGATTTTGTAAGATGAAGTCTATTAACCTACAAAAATATACTTGTCAATTTGTCGGCGGTTAATGATAATAAAGAGAATAGTAATTGTTACAGTAACAACAAGTGTTAAATTGCCAGGTCTAGTGCGTGTCGCTGTTTAACATAACTTGACCAGTTATTATGTAAACTGCTAAACCTAACATTCAATATTTAATGTCTCAGGTCCACAGTCAAAAGGTTATATTACTTTAAATAAGGAAGAGACATAGTTCCAATTAAACGACAGTCAAATTACTCTTAAAATCTTTCCGTTGCTTATACAGCACAGCACTTAGAATCATTAGAGGAAGTCGTGATAACTGTACAAGATCTGAACAATGTCATGTATACGATGTTCACAGGATGTTTTGAAGTACTGTAATTATATACTGTGAAAACATAATATTGGAAGACATTAACCAAAACAAGGATACCTGGGACGTGGTAACAAGTTTGCAGTTAGTTAAGAAGAAGCGTATTACGTCATTGTTTGGCTTTGTATTGTTTTACATTTTTGTACAGATGGAATAAACAAAAACCATTTATACTGATTCATAATGCCTTGGGTAGTCATTCCTCAAGATGATGTTTGTATGTACTGTGTATGAAACAATTGACTAATAAATCGTCATAACTTGTCAACAGAAGTTAATAAAAATGTTTAACCATTAGTCAGACAGTCAGCCGTGGGGGCAAAAGACTCAGCTGCGAAGAGTTAATGTTCAGGAAATAACTCGGTTCTTGTTCCACAGGGCTTGGCGAGGGTGAATAATGACTGTAAAGGTGATGGCGGGGTAAACTGTCTTGACCCCTACCTTGTACACGAGCTGGGTGACTACTGTTGCTCGCTACTGACTTCTACAGGAGATTAGACTCCTTCAGGAAAATGGCTCAAGCAGCATCCCTTGGTGGTGGACCTTCATAGATTATTAGATTCATATTTTGTGCTTCTGGTATGTGTATGCAGTATACTGTATACATATATATATATTCCCCGTGATCAAGATACTAATATGATTTTTTTTTTTTTACAATATAACTTTGAAAACCTTCCTGGAGCTTTTGTGTATCAGATGTGAATTAAAAACTGTGCAATATATACAGGCTCTTAATTCTTTTTAAATGGATGGATCTCTTTTGTCCCAATGGTGCTAGAATGGAGACTCGGGATATTTAAACTAAGCAATGTACTGTAATTCCTAACACCAAGTGAAGTACCGTATCACCACAACACCAATTGTATCATCTTAACCGTTGATGATTTATAAAAAGCGAGAGGAGACTATAACCAGCGAGGGAAGACTATAACCAGCGAGGGGAGACTATAACCAGCGAGGGGAGAGTATAACCAGCGAGGGGAGAGTATAACCAGCGAGGGGAGACTATAACCAGCGAGGGGAGACTATAACCAGCGAGGGAAGAGTATAACCAGCGAGGGGAGAGTATAACCAGCGAGGGGAGAGTATAACCAGCGAGGGGAGAGTATAACCAGCGAGGGGAGACTATAACCAGCGAGGGGAGAGTATAACCAGCGAGGGAAGAGTATAACCAGCGAGGGGAGAGTATAACCAGAAATAAAGATTCGTTATTACCAATCTTAAAATTATTATCAAATAGTTTGACCAAGGACGAAACCTGTTGATGAGTTTGATTACTTAATTTTCTCGTTTCGGGAAACTTGAGTTATTAAGAGTTATATGGGAAAGTCTGTTTAGATCCTATACTGTAAATGGTTCTTACCCAACTGTATACAGGTACTTTTACAAAACCATTTTGAGTGAGGTTTATTATTTATTGATACAAAATATTAGTAATTATTTGATGTATTACTAACATACACATAATCCCGTTTCCATTTTCACCCCTTTTTCTCAGTGAACAAGTTTATGAAAGTAAATAAATTATTACAAAATTTGACTGTGCTCTTTATTCCGGTACAGTTGTGTGCTATTGGTAAGAGATAATGGGATGTGTAATAAGGGGCTGTAGAGGAGATAAACACCCTTCTTGGGATATCATGAGCCAAGTTTGACGCCCCTTTTTCCTCTATAACAAAAGTTTTGGATGGCTGATGGCTACTGTGTTTGAAGTCCTTTTTGTTGTGGCGTTTGCTCTTTCTATGGCATGTGTAGTTAGTCAGTGTGCATCAGTAGAGAAAATATACATCGTGGACATAATATGCATGGTTGATAAATAATTATACAAAATTAATATTATCGTTAAATATGTTTATTAAGTGAAAATACCTGACAGTAGTAGGGATGTATCCTTCATGATCAACTGCAGACAATAAAGACATTAATGCTTGAACATAGAAATAAAGGCCAAAACAAACTTGAACTGTACTATAGCAGGATACTGTAGTTATCTAGGTTTTGCATCAAAGCTAACAACAATATAATAACTAAACTAAACCTGAGGCACTGTGGTTTTTGTAGAGTCAATGAGCATCCATAAATCTTGAAAGGTAAACAAGGTTCCCAAAGTCTTACAGAACATATTCAACACAAGGATCTACAGTTTACAAGTTACACACCAAAGCCTTTTTTCAATAAACGAAAGTTTCGTCTAAATATTCATGAATAACTCAAATAAAGTATAACACCGGCGTCCTCAACCTTGTCACACAACATGAAATTCTGATAATACATTATTCAGACTCCTCCAATGCTCAGAAAATTCTTGCACGTTAATATGCAACTTTAAAATGGAACTCAATCATAGAATGTATAGTGAAATAAATGCACATATCTCATAAAGGTTTACCTACAACTGTGAATAAATTACTGGATGAGACGAGTGGTTGTCAGACTTAAATGATCACTAGAAACCTGGAGACCATAAATGTTCCTATGTTGACCAGCCATAAGAATACTGTGCTTCACCTTGGTGTATCGGGTATCCGCTGGTTAAAGAATAATTTGTACTCTCCTCACTGCTGCTTTAGATCTTGCGGTCTTAACCCTTCTAAGTTACGTAAGTTTTAAACGTACAAAATAAACTATTGTTGAAATGTACTAATATGCTTCAGTAACTAAGGTCTCCAGTTTCCAACTCCAGTTTTTCCATCATTTGTCACCTAGTAATACTGTACTGTACTCTATAACTGTATTAGGCTGTAGTATCAACTGGTTTGATCAATAACACAATATGGTCTCCAAGATAAAGGGATGAAAATTAAACAAAACCAAATCTACGAAGATCCGCCACCTACAGTTGCTGCTTGAACCACTTTCCAACAAGTATCGAATCTCTTGTAGAAATCAGTAGTAAGGAGGGAGGAGTCATGACAGCCAAAGCCACCCAGCATATGCATGAAGGCGAAGTCAACACAATCCACCTTGCCATCCCCGTTGCAGTCATTGTTCACGCCCTGCACTCCCTGTGGGAGTAAAAACTGCATTAGCTTTTACATAAATAATTCTTAAAAATACAAAAGAAGACTGAGCGTTGAAAAATATAGCATTGTCTCTGAGTCTGTGTGTGATTTACTGTAAATTAAGTACTTTTCGTCTGATTATAATTGTCTGCGAAATTGCACACAATATATATATATATATATATATATATATATATATATATATATATATATATATATATATATATATATATATATATATATATATTTCATTAGCCCAATATATATGTGTGTGTGTGTGTGTATCATAATGGTGTGCATTAACCATATTGATCAGTACAGTTAACAAAGAATACTCAACAAACCTTGTCATCATTTATTCTTACAATTTATATACTGCAAAAACTATTCTTTTATAACTATTATCCTTTTAATATATTATTTTTATATTTAAAGTTAGCCTTAAAAGCATAGCATGATGATTAAATCGTGAGGCTTGATCAGAATTTTGCTCGGATAGGTAATTAACTCCCACTACTGAAGGTGTTGATAGAGTGAAACGCAATTTATAATATTATATTATTATTCTGCTTACCTTAAAATCTCTATAAATCGTTATTTTTTCTACTTTAAGATTCAGTTACCATCACCTGCCATCACCATCACCACACCCATCCTTCTTACGGATATCTACACATGCAAATAATAATAGAAATTTTAAGTTTGAAATTTATGAAAAGTTGGAAAACAGAAGTGGCGAACCCGCACTTAGTCAATATTTATGGTTCATATATTTAAAGACATCTTAATGAACAAAGTTTATACTATTTATTTATACCTATCTAATTAAACATTGATAACTTATGTCATTTTATATAACTACACCTAATTATAGTTCTGCATGCAGCTGTTTATTACAAATTTTTATGTCTGCAGGCATTGAATATTTCAAAACTACTTCATCTGGTTTATTTTTTATAATTTGTTAATGTTGGGAGGAAAAACGTTACGCAATATGGGGTTACCGTGACTGCGTTGAAGCTTAGTCATAGTGTGAACTTTCTTAGTGGGATTAATTTTCAGAATCGGTTGAAATAATACTATAGTCAAAAGGTATAACGCTTGAAATGGAAGTGAAGTAATACCTTGTACCATCAGCATCCTAACATAATTTTTACCTGTGAGCGAATAATGTAATTCCTAATCTAAGAACGCGCTTGAAGATCTTTGCTGTTGAAGCTCAATACTACATTATAATAGCAACATTCGTGTCTTATAATAGAATCTTGGTTTTGTTAGCTTCATCCTGTCCTAAATGAATCTTGGTTTTGTTAGCTTCATCCTGTCCTAAATGAACCTTGGTTTTGTTAGCTTCATCCTGTCCTAAATGAATCTTGGTTTTGTTAGCTTCATCCTGTCCTAAATGAATCTTGGTTTTGTCAGCTTCATCCTGTCCTAAATGAATCTTGGTTTTGTTAGCTTCATCCTGTCCTAAATTGTCGGTGATCTTCAACTTCTGGAACCAAGTTACTCGCACAACATCAAGTCTTAGGAAAACTCATCAGATGGAAATATTTTATACTGAGCATATATAACCATTACCATTTTAACAACACTTAAGACTGAAAATTTGCCTTAGGTGCTTCCCAAGCTTGTGATCTTTCTCGTGGAATTTTAGCCATATTATTATGGCCTGGTATGCAATCAATTTTGTCACTAAACACTGATAATAGCTTTTATGATGGAAAAATTATTTATTACATTGAAAACTAATGTGGCAACCCCATACAACTTTATCAGATATTAAAATAAGAATTTAGAAGAAAGGATTATGTCTATAGTGTTCTGCAGATTGAACAATGTGTAACTAAAAGAAAATTTAGCCAGTTAAGCGTTTAATTCATAACAAGACTGGCAAGTGTGCAACCGTACTAAATGAAGCCGAGACGAGTAGTGCATTCTTCATATTGTGTTTTGAAGGCGCCGACTAGTGGAGACCTGCAGCCGCTCACACCATACTTGTGTATCCTTACAAAGTCGATGCAGGTCACTTCGCCGTCACCGTTACAGTCCTACATCAGCAACGATTAGTTATAAGAAACCCAAAACTCTTGTAAAATAACTCCTATTATAGTTTACAGATAACCATGGGCAAATTTATAATAGGTTTTACGACATCAACACAAATGGGTGAACAAATACAGTGTATAGCATTGTATACTGTTCACAAGTCCACAGAAATACTGCGCGGTTTCAACTTGTTTCACGACACAAAGATGAAGTTCGACCTCTAATTTCCAGGGCTTGATAACTATATACAGTACAACACAATGGAAAAGTTAAGGGTATAAACTCGAGCATCATTTCCTACTATTAATAAAAGATATATAATTAAAATGATCCTGTAAAGGGTAAACCATTAGGAAGAGATAATTATTTCACAGCATAATGAGAGTAATAACCAAATGACAAAACCCATGTTAAAGTTGATTTAAAAACAGACAAAAGAATATCCCTAATGACACTTCACTCCTTCCTCCCCAAAAAGTTAACACTTAAGTTAGTTAATTAGTTTTACCCTAACATAGCAAGCAATATTTCTTTGAACAACTTTCCCTTTAAACAATTCCACTGATGCTTATTTAACAGCCACGTTGATATAAGATCATGCCTCACGTATAAAACCCGCTGTTTGTTTCGTGTTAGCATGCTGCTTCATGACCACTGAGAAACACTATACTCACGGCAGAGAACTTCTTCATGTACTGGCGGACTGCTTTGGCGGCGCAGGGGAGGTCGAAGGCACAGTTCTCAAATGCTGCCAAAAATATACAGCTTTTCATTATCTTGACAATACGTATCTTATCTTCAGAGTTTAAAATACTTATCACCCAAAATAAATCTAGAGTCATTGACCCATAAATCTTATTCACAGGTTGTAATGATGACTGTTACTTTGATAATTCTCCGAACAACTTAAACTCTACGTCTTTAAAAGTATCAATTGGATTATCTCTGATAAAACGCGCCAATATTCAGACTAGGCAAAAGTGTATTAAAAAAATTCAAATTATCCCAAATCACTCACATTTTTCTTTTAGAATAATTTAAATAAGCAGGAAAAGGAACACTGAACTCTCAGAACTGATTTTGGATAGGTTAATGTACAAGTGTATGGAAACTCAAAACGTGGGTAAAATTTGAATAATAAAATACAGAAGTTGCTACTAACCGCCTTTTTTTTCAGGGTCATCGTTTTTGATCACGGGTTTGCCAGCATCAGCCCAGAAGGCCCAGGAAAGGAGGAAGGCGCCGCAGAAGTAGCCTCCAGGGTAAGGGGTGGTACAGCCCGCAGAGGCATTACACCTCGTCGACGCCTCGCACAAGCAACCCATACAGTTGGAAGAGACCACATTTTCCGCCGCCTGACCTGTGAACATAAACATGAGAGAATGATCGAATATACAGGAAATAATGATCTATAATGGCGTAAGTTGTAAATATAAAGGTAGAAATAGGTGGAGTAGAAGTAATTTATATTATAATAACACCACATGTTCATTGTACGGCACATTTTCAATTTTAACCATTGTTACTTAATATAGAATTATTTTTCGCATGCATTAATAGATCTACTTCCCATTAACCTTCCAGTCCATCTGAACTCTTTATTTCACTTATATTATCAAGCAATGGGTGACACGACTCACCATCCTACACTCTCTTCAACTACGGCGCTCTTCATTCATTGTTTAACACATGACCCATAGGAACTCTTTACCCACGTCAATTATACAGAGATTTAGTTATGATCATGTGTATTAAAAGAGAACTTGAACATTATAAAAATATCTAGAGCCCAGAGGAAACCCAAATAATGTAAAAATCACGCTGCCTTCAGGTTCACACAATAGGCTACCATTATTGACCTTCAGGCATGAGCTCATCTGTTAAAAAAGAATGTCCTTGGAAAGGTTTGCAGCTCCACCAACTTGCCTTTGTTTCTTTTAAGCAGGGAGATGTGACGTTGTTGCTTTTCTACTTGTTAGGTGGCGTGGCAGTTTGTACCCTTCACCCTCTCTTGGTACAATAATGCCGTTGATGTTATTCGTTTTAGATGTGTTAATGTTAAAATGGAGTGGTTCTCGAAGTGGGCCGTAGGAGTCTAGGGGGCCATAGTAACACAGCACGTGTCTGCCCCCTCCCCCTTTCCACAAATTTGTGTTGCCAGGCGTACGATATACCTAAAGTGTGTGCGTCTCTATATTATGGTGCAGGGTGGCCAAAAAGATTTTTATCCTCTTAGTATTCAGCAGACAATAGATTACGTGACAGGTTGCTTGTTCACCGAAGGCTTACTCCACCACCGGCAAGCGTACTTATTACTAGTTCTTTATCCTTGAGAGCATCAAGTGTTGCATCATCAACAGTGTGTCTGAGGTAGTAGTGAGGAACTTGGTGTGTGGACTCAACCTGTCCTAGGTCAGGTGACTTGCTAGGTGACACCCATTGTCGTGGTCAACTGAGCTAGCTGCACCGCCCCAGGTACACTGAGCATTTTACACCTGGTCAACACACACAGTTGTTCAATAAATACTTGGCACTTGTAGAATATTCAGTGTGTAGAAGGTTCATAAATTCGTATGTTTTCTGCACATAGGCTGATGGTTTATAATTCAAACATACCAATCACTCCACGTGTTCAGTTTTCCTGTTTTCGGTACGTGTTTTATAGTACCAGGGCGTTGTAACTCTTTTTTTAATTATTGATAACTAATTACTCGCCTAGATACACCCTTAAAGATCTTAGTTGTTGAGGCGTAGTATTACATTATAACACCAGCATCTTTAGGCTTCCACCAAGTAATTGAATTTAAACCTATGTTGGTTATATCAATTATGAAGCGTATGACAACAAAACCAAACAAATTTAAAACATGAGAAGTAAGCTTATAATGCAGTAGTAGTGTTCGTTGTGGTGCAGTGGAGGTCATTGTACATTACCACTAAAAGGCATTGAGTATAAAATGTTCTGGTTGATGAATTATAGCGTGATCAGAACCGCTCGTGGTGATGCTCTCACTACACTCCACCTCCCCGCCCGTGTTGCCGCCCCGCCTCCCTCCAACCGTGCACGAGGCTACTGTATAATCAACAACGCCTGCCTCACTGACTTAAACATTATAATTACTGCTCACAACTACTAAAATGCCGGTAACAATTACGCTTACTGGAGAGCTTCAGAAAATAGCTCCCGGAAGCGGCCACAACTTGCCCCTGAGAGTGGTGGCTAAATTAATTCCACTCCTTCACACTTGTCAATGACGTAACCAATCCTGTCCTTGTGTTTGGTTTTTTTTATTAACACGTTACTACTTATTATAATAATTGTAATCTTTAAGTGTGTTCTAAAGAGATAAAAAGTGAGACCAGCAGAAACCTCACCGTATGCTGCCCGACCCCCGTCCGTCGGGACATAGTCTCGTGAGTGTTGTTTTCCCCATGTAGTTGTGCGCTTCAGTAACTAAGGTCTTGAAGCACGCGTTCTCAGTAGGTTTTCCCTACAACTATCAGAAATCAAAGTAAATATTCTTGTTTCTTGAGCGCTGTGGTAAGGTCTCGCTAAACAAGAGCTAGGCATCATTTGGTGCTGTTATGCCCGGGGGTCAACAGTCAAGGTTGTAAATCACTGCCTTGATATGTATCGTCAAGGAATGTCCGGTCATTAAAAAGAACCCGGTCTTATCAATGGTCAACCTGACAATTGGTCCACACACAAAGTGGATAATATTATTATTATGTAGTTAATCTCAAGTCCTCAGGTTTGTTATTTGTCAAACACTGATACAATATTCACTATAATTCTGCACTTGAGTTTGTCGATTAAAAATGGCTCGTGGGTGATAACTACTACAGCCCAGGCTATTGGGTACGCCTTTTTGCCGTGCCCGGGTTTCAAAAGATAACTCGTTTCTAATAAGGTAAGTTTAATATTCATAATTCACTACATATTAATGTTGTAATAAATTATTCTTCAAAGGTGTGACGGAGTGTGTGTCACATAATATACACCTGTACTGTATATGACGCTGTGTTTACTTTTATAGGATTTGTCAACTAATTATTCAACCAGAATGGGTGTAGTCACAACACTTTGTCAATAAACTATAATATTCTCTCACCACGGAATTCACCTTTATAATGATTCACTAACAAACCAAAGGTGATTTAAAGACTGACTACATTTTAGGTTACTTGCGTATAAAAAATTTAACCAAACCATCATGTGTCCTCCATGACGACTAGAGTGTGGAGGTGCGTGGCCGAGTACGTCTTTCCTTTTTTGGATCTAGTGTGAGTGTGTGTGTACCGCTAGTAATTTCGCTTACTGACCGCGACGCCTATGTCTTTGTAGCGTCTGGTGTTGAGGCCTGGAGCAGTAACCTTAACTCAACCAACCACGACGCTCCTCTGCTCACCACACCACGACTCCTCTCTCTCTCTCTCTTGTTCCAGAGTTTCTACTACAAAAACGCACTGAAAAAATATATCCACCGAAAGAAATTATATAAGATTACAGACATTTTTGCTGCTTTATGAAATATTTAAACCAGGCCACAAAGAACTGCTCGTCGAGGTGATTTCGACATGCCCACACGAACTGGTTTTTGAGGGCCAGCCACTGACGCATTCCCAGCTGACTCATCAGATAACCCTTTGACCTTTTACGGAAGGTGTCAGAGCTAGAGAGAAGACGTTTTTACGAACGTAGTGATTAGAGATAGTGACGAGGCAACGATGGCCTGGATCATAACAAAAAATGCTCACTTAAGTTTTCTGTGAGCCTGAAATGAACTCTCGTGAACTTCCCTTTCAGGTTTTTTTTTTTAAGTTCAGTACGTGTGCGTCTTTGTGTGTACGTGTGCGTTTGTTTCTATATACGTGAATAATTACAAGCAATGTCTAAGATTTCAGATATTTTTTGAGACTGGAGGCTGTGTTTAGTCAACCCAATCCAAACCTAACCTGACCTGACGGGTGGAAATCTTTATCGTGCTAATGATGTTATTCTGGTGAGGTTTAAAAAACCAATGGCAGATTCTTGATAACGTGTTCTGGATCACCTGAAGATTAACCATCCCAGCTTATTTTTCTGACGAATAAGCACACTAACGCTACCTTGAGTGGGTAGGTTAGGTTAGCATTAGTGTGTTTAAGTATCGGGTGAAATAAGCTGGGGTACCTAAGCTGCAGGTGATCCAAGGGAAGTCTGAAATTCCTCACAGGTTCCGGTCGACGAGTTTGTCCTTGAACCCGGATGATCTGAAGGGGGAAACAGAGAAGGTTTAAGAGAGAAAGTAGGGAGAGACAGGAGGTGAAGGAGAGGCAAGTGATTCCTTTATAAGATTACTGTACTGTGATGCGGAATGAAACAAAGAAAACGAATAAATCTGAGAGGAAGAACAGCGACTACTAAGAAGTTGAAAGGAAGACGGATGTGATGAAAAAACAGAGAAATACAAGCAGTGTTTGTGAGATAAGAAGAAAAGGAACTAGATGTGTTTGTATTGCAAGAGGAAGAAGCGAGGGAAAGCCAGCGTCCTACATACAGTACAGCTTCGTCCCGTGAAGATGGTGAATACGATAATAAACTAGAATAAGGAAAGCGTAAACACCTTATGACCTACTAACACACGTAAAGAAGGTTTCGGTACTGATGTTAACGAGTCTACCTTAAAAAAAAAGGTATTCAAACACTCAGTTTTACGTTACAAAACAAGCGACATAAATCTCACGGCGAGGACCGACCCACTTCTTATACGTCTGGTGGCCTTCCCGATAAACAGTTTAGACAAGAGCGATGATATGCGACTATTCAGGATAGTTCAAGACTTTTCAGACACCCAGAATCTTTCGTTTGAGAAGAATGTGAATATTCCTGGATTTTAAGTCATCTTGGCCTTACGTTTAGATGTATTGTTATTGTCCAGTGCTCGTAAAAAATCATTCTATTAGTTAGATATTTAATTTAACAAAAGCCACCACGAATCTAATGTCTCCATAGCACCATTTATCATACAATTTCTTGGTTACTTCCCAACCTAACCTAACCTAACCTAACCAGAATGTGCGATAAATAAATGAAAATTATTGACGACAGACCGAACATTAGTCGAAAAAGACGGCAGTATTATAAGTCGCCACAGAGATTCTTGTATCCTCTCTCCCCTTACGAAGCAGTGAAGTAATCTCTCACCAAGGCAGCCTACACACACACACACACACAGTCATAGCTTGAGTGACCCTATTGAGTTTCACCCGACCGGTCAGTGTCCCATATGATAAGTTAAGAAGACCCTCCCACTCCTCCCTCTTCCTTCCTCCCCCCGCCTCCATACCTCCTCCTCTCTCTTCCCTTCCTCCTCCCCCCTCCTTACAACACCACCCCTGTACTACCTAGGGGAGGTTAGGTTAGGTTAGGTGGAACAAGGTGAGGTTGATTGATGTTTCTGGATTTGTGATCAGAGAGGAGAGAAAGGTGGACAGGATCTGGAGTGGCGAGGTGAGGTCTCTGTCACCACCCACGAGTAGGAGGGAGAAGGTGTGGGAGGGGCGAGGCAGCAGAGGTGAAGGGCAAGTGAGAGTGGTAGTGGATGAGGAGGGCGAATGAAAGTCAGAGTGAAGAGTATTAGAGAGGATGAGTGAGAGCAGGAGAGAGGGGTTGAGTGAGAGCAGGAGAGAGGGATCGAGTGAGAGCAGGAGGAAGAGTGAGTACGAGAGATGTCAGTGAAGGCAGAACGAAGTCTCCAAACGAAGAGATGAGGAGACGGAGGTTGGGTGTAGCCGAAGTGCTTGAATTGATTCTAGGAAACAAATACAAGAGTAAGAGGAAAGAAGTAAACAGAAGATAAGGAGGAGGACTGCCAGGCTCCTCCTACACAGTACCTGACAGATAACTTTGTATATCATCCTCAATCTAGAACTGACACCCAAAAGAATAGTATAAACCACCTCGGAGCATAATTGGAGCATTAAGCTGGGATAGTTTTTTTTTTTTAATTTAAGGTTTTAATTCTTCGTTATAAACACTCCAGGACTGATGTAGCCTGAGGGTTAACTAAAACAATGCCTCTTTTAGCATAGGTGAGTTCAAGGGTCAGTTCAACACATGGGAATCCCTCAGAAGCAGGAAGTCAACAACGCATTTCTTCTCATTTGCATCAAAGTCGTAAAATCCTCGTTAAATATTCTTTTGTGCAGGGCGTAATTGCGGGTGTCTCCACGGAGGAGGCCTTCGACGGTGACTGGAAGGGGGTATTTTAAGCACGAACTCCCTGCTACAGCTGAGGGATCAAGGACCACTACAGTAGGTCTTCCGCAAAAAAAAAACAATTATGTAAAAAAATTACTTTTTTTTTCAACGAAGCTTAAAAAGTAATATTTTAAACTTTTAAGTGATACCTACAGATGTGTTGTACTTTCTACTGTACAGACAAATACCCACACCTCATTCCCCACTTAGCACCTCTTACACAAAGACAAACACACACACACACACACACACACACACACACAAACACACACACTGTGACGCGAACACACACTTTCCTAAATAAACACACTTAAACTTACTGCAAACCATGATGACCATGATGGCAGCAGTCAGGCCAAGAAGTGCCGTCTTCACCAGTGACATGTTGTCTTCTGTGATCTCTCTTCGTCTCCCACTGCCTCTGAGATATATCTCAAGCGGGTCCTGCAGCCGGTGAGATGCTGTGTAGACTGACTTAGGAGGTGGCTGTTGGAGGGCCGAGTCTCGGTCCAATTGGCCTGGGATGACAAGCAGAGGACAGAAGGATGAGGGATCAAGAGTCTAAACGCGACGGCTGTGAGGATCTGACTGGAGGCGGCCGGGAAGAGCGAGGGATCTACCTGTCGCGGCGTCCTCACTCCCATGCTAAAATTTCACTGGGTTTCGTGAGTTGTCGTTTCATTTGGAGTTTCATAAATGATCATTTACTATGAACTGGTCTGTTTTTTGCATTGTCTGTTGTAATTGAAGTTCATCCCACTTAAAAAAAGTGGCTAAATATCTGTAATCCGCTGTACAGTTTAACATGTTAGACGTGTGTCTCTCATAGCTACTGCAGAACCTTTTTTTTTTCAAATAACCGGTCCGTAAATATGTTCTACACTCATCAACACGACACGATCAGCAGGCAAGCAAGCAATAGATATTTGAATGCTAAGTAATGCAAAGGAGTGAGAGGGTGGTTGAGGCGGGGGGGGCGGGAGAGGGGGGTTGTTCATGAGGTGTCTCTTCTTGGAACACTTACCAAACGATGCTCATTTTCCCCACATCCGGAACTGCAAAATTTTAAACGAGCAATTTATATTAACAACCTACATTATATCTCCATCCAAATTTGCGGAAATATATCAATTATAATAATTATACTATACACATATGTCGTTGTTTATCCTGGTGTTTCCTTTAAAATACATGAAAAGATGAAGAAAAATAAATATTGCCTCATCCATGCAAACTTGGCACATTAACGGTGTGTGGATCTCATAAACGATGAAAATCCCAACCTGAAGATATCCGGAACCATATAGACTGACACCTAGTGGATAGGAAACACCCCTAGACCATATCACTTCTCTCTCGTAGATGATGCTAGCATGTCCTTGTGTATACTCTATGACAAACTATATATCGCTGAACCTTTACCATACACATCGGAATCACCTTACAAGGATTACGTGTGAATACGAAACAAATCGTGTTTCTTTTTCTTTCTCTCATTGCAGTTATTCTTTACATGAAATATAACTGACTGTATCCCCTTGAGCACTATGTCACTGTAATCAGGAAATTGGCCATCTCATTCAAAGATTAAAGACATTGAACTCAAGGGTTACAGTTTTTGTATTTAAGTGGTTGTTATCGTACTCAAGGGGTTTTTATAGTAATCAAGGGGTTGTTATCGTACTCAAGGGGTTGTTATAGTAATCAAGGGGTTGTTATAGTACTCAAGGGGTTGTTATCGCAATCAAGGGGTTGTTATCGTACTCAAGGGGTTGTTAATGTACTCAAGGGGTTGAAAATCGGAACTCGATGGACTAATTGTACTCAAGGGATTAAAATGTTTTACTCGATTGGTTTATTCTTTCATTGAGTTAAATCATTACAGTGAAGAGTTAGTGTAGCCTCTCCTCAGTGTTGGGTGATCGTAAATTTATTGTATCTTTCAACCCAAATCGTCTTTTTAACCACAATGAACCAAAATACATACAATGCGATATTAATATATAGATTGTTTAATTTTTTTTACATTTCATTAGGATTGTTTTTTAATGTAAATTTTATATAATGGAACGAATTATCAATCGCTTTATCACAAGATGAATCAACTTTTAAAAAGATATAAAGAATTGTATAACGAGGAGAGAAAAAATATAAAATGACTACGGTATAAACGACTGCACAGGTGAATATATTCCTTGTGTGTCGTGAAGCGATGAACGGAAGACTTGGATACAAAGAGATGAAACATGTGAAAACGACCGATGCTTAGGAAAATGAAGACATGTAAATTCTTTCCTTTATGCCTCATGATGATTCAAATATTCAAGGAGCAAAAAATACAAGACCCAAAGGGTAAGGTCACTCTAGCCCTCGGGTTCCTAGGAGCTGGTAGGGGAGGTGAGGTTTGGCATTCAGAGCAGCTAGAGAGGAGAGAGAAAAATATTAATAGAGATGCTGTTAGTGATGTTACGTCGTGAATGCTAGCTGGTGTAGAGTCGTGTGTTGTGGGGCCTATAGTAGGTAGAGCGGAAAGACGGTCAACCGCAGCATCCAATGTTGGTGTTACCCATAGTTATGTTGGAAGCTCATGCGACTAATTCTGTCTTCCAGTGCGTCAGTGCGTACGTCTCCATGCGATTATGAATATATACTTCAATGAATCGTGTGTGTGTATGTGAACGCGTATCATTTTCTCATAGCTGGATGATCGTCAAACTCAATTCCGAGTGACAGCAAAGTAGTAGTGTGTGTGTGTGTGTGTGTGTAAATATTTACATCTATTATCAAAACACCAAAAAAAAGCATTTTCAAAGACTACACAGACATACACGATCATAACCTGGAACAAATAATGATTTTTGTGTTGTAAATAAGGTCAAGATCACTTACACATACACAAACTTAAGGTCACAACGACGATCAAGGTCACGCACACAGGTACAGGAGCTAGTTTATTGTGCACCCCCCTTGCGTCCTGTACAGAGTTTTACATCTCCCAAAGAGAAATATGCAAAGTTCTTGTTTGCGACAGATAATTAAAGGAAGCGAGTACCTGAGGGGCCATTGGTGGTGTTAACAAGTTACATATAGTGAAGGAAAGATAAACGTACATAAGGAGGATTCCCTGTACAAGCTCACCTGTTTATAGCAAAGAATGACAGGTCCCTAATGTGCCACCTAATCTGTCTGTAGGAGGGGCGGCGTGATGGTGTGGTGGCTGGGGACCTGCAGGAGGAAGTTTCACAACATGCCAGGATGTAGTGAGTCAGGTTGCCCACCAAGTTTACATGTATTGAGGCCAAGCTCCGGGTCCGTGTACTGAAAGTGGTACCTACGATATATCCAAGGCGCAGGTTTTTGTTCACAATCTGTTGAGAACTGAGCCTGAGGTTGGTAATCGAATGGTGACGGTCACATAGCAACAAATTCAAGGTCACAACAACAAATTCAAGGTCACAAAAACAATTTGAAGGTCACAGAGGCAACGATAAAGTCACGCAACAACAAAGGTCACGGCAGAAGATTAAAAGATCTTAAAAAAAATTAATGGCGCGTTCTAAGTGTTTTACTGTTGTTATGTTGCCTTGCGAGAACCCATTTGATTCTCTTTTGTCTCACGTTATTACATATTTCTTTTATCGTGGATTATTAAAGATTCACTCATTATGAATCTTCGAGTATTTGGCATCAGGCCCACTCGGCTGACGCTGTGGGGGTGGGTGACGCGTGAATTATTTAGTGTCTTGGGTAAACCTAGCACAGCCTCGTGATAACTTCTCCTGAGTTTATGACAATGAAAAAAAATCGACTTCTTGTCATTATACCCATAACAACGGGAAAACTAGTATTATCTCGTTATTAATAAGTTACATAAAAAATATTTATTAATTAATCATTTCAAGCAATTAATGCTTCGTCTTTTGTTTTGTTTTTAAAGAATTGTCCGTTGCAATGAATTAAGATGCAGTGAACTGGGGTTAATACTCCTGGTAGCTTAAGCATCTAAAACACAATACAACAACAGTTCACGGTACAGTAGTCATGTCTGTTTATCATCATCGTCCCGTTTCTTTTCAAGTCCTTTACCAGCAACGGATCCACCGTGTTCCTCGCCATCACCTCCTCTAACATTGCGAAGAAAACCCACACACACACTCACACACCTCCAGACTGTACATGGAGGTGGTTGAAACAATAATAAAAGCGAAACAAGTACAATAAAATGTCTGTAAAGTGTGCAAAGGTGTACATGTTAATAGTAACCACTGTTATTAGGTCAGCAGTGATTTCTATCTGATTCAACCAACTTCAATACCAAAAGAAAATTTACTGTTTTCATCTAATAATTCATGTCGAACGGATTTTTTCTTCTTTTTTTTTACAAAATCTAAAGATCTAAAATTTCTATTAACTGAACACCATGTGCAACTGTTGAGAACATTATGAAAGGGTTGGTAAATTCATTATTGCAGCAGAAGGATCTTAAATATGGCAACCATAGTATATACACAACTGGACAGCTATAATAACAATTATTTTATATAATTTCAGATCCTCTGCGTGACCAGCCTGTTATTAGAAGACGGGTGAACATTACATGTTAGGTCGACCAGCAACTGACGCTTTGTTGGAAGTTAACTGGCGATTTCCCTCCGTATTTAACTTACAATTGCTGAGATAATAATGTGTAATAATATACTCTAATTATATATACCATATGTCCTATGAACACTTAGATTATGTATACGCAAATAATTCTCACTTATTGAAGGAATAAAGAAAAAATAATAGAGAACCTGCATGAAGAAATACAATGGTGAAAATACGGCACAGTAACTTCCCAGGCTGCGCACGAGCTGGTACTTAATCACAGCTTGAACCAACAAATTACACATTGGAGACGATGCTAATCTCTCACGACCTGGGGAGTCTGTGCACTATCATTGACATACTGAATGGCGCGCCAAAATTTACTCCCTCTCTGTGAGAACCTGTGTCTGTCTTAACTACATGTGTATATTCTCTAAATTATTGTACTTAGGAAATATAAAGTCAATTTATATATGTAATTTCCTAGAATGTGATGTATGGTTATTGGAATGTGAATTATCATTACACACTCGCGCTTTCCAATTTCCTGGCGATAACTTTTTTTCTCCCTCTAAACAAGCCCTTCGAAAATTTCCATTGAATATTCTCTACCGCGCCACTATCATCATGTCCCACGATGGTGCTTTAGAAACCGTGGATGACAGACACGCCAGGAAGTATGCTTGCATAAACAAAATACAATACTATTTACAATGTGTGCTTTCATACTTTACGTTGCAATTGAAAATGAGGAACCATTAAATTCCTATATCATTAAAAATACCATAATACACTGACATTATGACGAGCATAATTTATAAAAAAAAATAAATGATCATACAGAGTTTGTATAAATGCCGTATTTTTATTTCAGGGTGACGCGTTTTGTGGCTGACTCGGTACTTGACCACTGTCGGCTGACTCATCCAGGGCCGAGACGTCACTGGCGATACGAAGGATGGAGGTGCAAAGCTCACGTGAGTGGTACAGATTCCGTTTAAGTTTTGACAT